GGTGTGATTTTCAGAGTGTGTCTTACAACAATACATGGAAAAATATCATAAATATTTCTTGGAAAACCGTGTGATATTCATGACGTCACTCAATGGATTACACCACCATTCCCAGTTTGTCTAGGAAGAAGAAATGTCCACCTTTCGAAAACGCTCGGGTTATATGGTTTTTATAATCTTGTAGCAAGATTTCTTGAACATACGTGTTTTTTTGACGTCATGAATAATAAAAGATTTGTTATGGAGAGAGCCCTTAGACTCATTCCATTTCAATGGCCAACGAGTCAGAGAAGAGGCCCATAACTATTGGACCACGCCTCATTTTTTTTAAACCATTCTATTATTATATATTATCTAGTGTAATATTTAACAACCCACAACATCCTTTCCGTGGTAGTGCACAACAGACAAGACAGGATGGCAGACCCCGACATGCCTCAACATGTTAGCCCACTACAAGCTCCTCCAAGATGGCAAACCCATTGGAAACTATCATTTGGAGATCATCAAGATAGAGATCGATGTGCCTACTAGAGGCTGTGATGGTATATGAATAATGTCACATGGTTTGGAATCATGTCAATACATATATGAAACTGGTTGATTACATTAGAAACAATGAACACTTGAAATATCTAAATTTATTCGAATTACTTTAAACCATGCTATGTTCACTCTTATCAAGATATTTACTTTGTTCACCTCACTTTCCATGTTAATTTTAACTTTACACATTTCAATGGCAAAATGAATATGATCATATTGTTGGCTATAGTTTCGTTTACATTAAACGTGTTTCTTTCAAAGAATGTCAAGTTTTGAAACATATATTTGTGAGATAATAGATTGATTTCTGTATATTTCATCTCTAACAGTGATAATTACAACATTTTTATAAAATTTATGATACAGTCAACGTAAAATATCCTAAAATTATACTTTCCTGTTTCAGGTCCATCAACACCGAGCGAGATAATGTTAGCCGTTTAATGTTTAATGGCTTTACAGCAACACGCATGCCCTGAAATAGAAATCATGTCTTTTAAGCACACGTATGTTAGTATATAATACACGTGGGACTTACTAACAAAATATACTGACAAATACAAAATCTTTGAACTTCTTCGAATAATCACATTAGTTTAAAAATTGTTTTTCATGCACACATTTTGGAAGGTTACATAACGAGTATTTAAACATAGTTATATTTAACTAACAATATACTTACAGAAGTAATGGAGGTACGCAAGTTACAATAACGCGATCTTTGGACGAATAAAACTATTAGTTCAGAGATTTACACCTCAATTTTACTAAATTAATTTTAATATTCTCTGCTTTGACGAGGTACGTTACTATAAGATTTTTTTTTTGTTTTTGAATTTCGCGCAAAGCTACACGAGGGCTATCTGCGCTAGCCGTCCCTAATTTAGCAGTGTAAGACTAGAAGGAAGGCAGCTAGTCATCACCACCCACCGCCAACTCTTGGGCTACTCTTTTACCAACGAATAGTGGGATTGACCGTCACATTATAACGCCCCCACGGCTGAAAGGACGAACATGTTTGGTGTGACGGGGATTCGAACCCGCGACCCTCAGATTGCGAGTCGAGTGCCTTAACCACCTGGCCATGCCGGGCCAACTATAAGATACTTTGTGGTATTGGCTTCAGAGTTTGGCGATGTAGTTATCAAAAGTTAACTAAGAGTTTGTTCACGGGTGTCCCTCTTGCATAAATGTGATTTTGCAATAGATCACCACATTACATTACTAACCATATTTACAATAAAAAATGACCTGGTGATTAGGACGCTCGATTCGCAATCTGTAAGTCGCAGGTTCAAATCCTGTCACCGAACATATTCGCCCTTTTAGCCGTAGGGGTGTTATAATGTGACTTGTCAATCCCACTTTTCGTTGGTAAAAAACAACCTAAGAGTTAGCATGGGTCGTGTTGAAGAGCTCTAGTCTATCGCTTCAAAACTAGAAACGGCCCTCTACACGAATATACAAAACAAATAATCTTTGCGCCCCTATAATTTATAAGGAATAACTAATTTCCTTGTCATTAAACAATTTTCCTTTTTAACACTGCATTCTATATTTAGTCCCTTAGGGATTTTCAAGAGTTTATTATAATAGTATTCCAACCATACTATGTTCGCCGTATCCATTGCCGACGATGCATTTCGCTCAAACCAGAGCTCATCAGACCGGCTGGAACAAAACAAATGCAGTAATGGTCAGAACACTATTTGTTATAGTAGCAATTGTTATGGTGAGGACGTATTTTCCAAGCTGGCGAAGTATAATTACAACTTATTTATTTAAGACGTTCACACCATACCAGTTTGAAAACTAGTTGAATAATGATTTTATTTATTATTTGTTGCAGGTGTTCAAGATTATTTTAAGATAGATAATTTAAACGTGTGTTGAGTATTTTAGGGCAAGTGCCTGCTTTAATAACTATCTATTGTGTAATGATGTTAACGTTGTATTCCTTTTAATTGTAAATATATTCTTTAAGATATTATATTTAAAAAACAGAACAAGTAAACTGTTTCAAAAAATATAGAACTTCTGCAAATACTCTATTAAATCAGATATAAGTAAATCACAATATCTTTCATATCATAGTCAGAAAAGTATCACATTGCCTACAGGGAATTTTGTTTTTTTTTTTGTTTCCTCGAATTAAGTTCTACTGATAACAACCTGTAATGAACATATGTTCAACGATGTGCTTTTACTATTCATCCTGTTGTATGCAAGAAACTTACAAGTGATAAGTAATTAACAGGATCGTATAATGTTGGAAAATGAGAAGAAAAAAAAACATTTGTTAATCAGCATTATTAAGGTGTATTTTAATGGAAAGAGGTGGAAATATAGTTACTTTGCACGAGGAATGAGGATTTTAAGTTAAATAATTTACAGGTTAATGACAAAATGTACCGAAATTATTAAGTTTAATATTTTCAAAATTTGGAAATGGATATAAAGGAATCCACTGTCAAATCAATTGTAAAAGAACCCACTAAAATATTTACAAACTATAGAGAAGAATTTGAGCACATAAAACAAGTCTGGGAAATTGTATGTACGTCTACTAAAGGCAAGAGAAAAACAATGAAAATATAGAACGGCTAAGTTATAATTAATAAGTTATAAAGTTATATAATTATTAAGTTATAATGTTCTGAGAGCATCTGAATGAACAAACTAATAGAGAGAACGCCTGCATCAATATTAACGATTCATATAGTTTATAAATATTGAGTAATGCATCTGAGGTATTGGCTAATCAAAGATATATAAAGGTAGCACGTGCATGTGAACATAAATGTGTGATGAAATAGAGTGTGAAATAAACAGTTACACAAAAAACGAAACTTAAACACAAGGAAGGTTTAGATTAGTAATTAACCCTTTTTAAGAACATGTTTTTAATATATGTTAAATATCACGATATAGTGTTTAACGCATTAAGCAAAGTTTGCAATGAAACAATTTATGTTTTCATTAAAACATCATTTTAGTAAGGGCATGAAGTAAGCACTGATAATACGAAATGAGCCATGAGGCCACCATTACTGGACAGTTTAATGCATGAAGTTAGGTCTCACAATATTGTATAAGGGGATGATTAATAAGGCTGTAGTATATTTTAAACACTAAACTATTATGAGAAACATCGTTCAAAATATAACAAAGGTCATCTCATAAATTAACCGATAGGCAATGTGTTATTTATCAGTTAGTTTAATTTATGCAAACTTTTTTCTTCAACAGCTCCAGTTCAGAGCAGCAATCTACCGCATACAAACATTAAATAATTAAAGCTTCAAATAATTGGTTAAAACTCATTAGATTTGTGGTAAGAAATAATATAAACTTTTAAAATGTCACCTCTTTGTACTTGCCTCCCTGTGATTGAGCGGTAAGCCTGAAGATCTAAAAAACGGTTTTCGCTACTCGCGGTGGGCACAACATAGATAAATCACTGTGTAGCTAGCTTCTCGCTTAACAACAAACAAACAAACGACTTTGTACTTTAATATTCTAAGTAGATTAAATTGCCCGAATAATTAGTTAAATTAAAAAAACAATATGTTTGTTTGTTTGAAGTTAAGCACAAAACTACACAATGGGCTATCTGTGCTCTGCCCACCACGAGTATCGAAACCCAGATTCTAGCTTTGTAAGTCCGCAGACATACCGTTGTGCCACTGGGGGGCAAAAAAAAACAATATGAAAGGCTATGCTAACATAATAAAAGTTTGAAGTTCTATTCTACAATCATTGTTTCTTTTCTTTAATTAGAAAAGTTTTTGTAAAGAATTATTATATCGCATGCGATCACTACATCATTGTAGCTAAGAATAAAATACTTTATTTATATAAATAATTTTTACATGCCATGGATAATATAAATGTTATTAAAGTATATTTATATATAACGCATTGCTTTTCCCATGTATTCAAACGATGCTGCAAACAAAAAAAATCAAATGTTCTGTTCAAGTTTTCATGTAACGTGCATTCATATGTCTTTTGTTTTTCGTAGCAATGATTACAAAATATTGTTTTAACAATAACCAACCTACACAGAAAAACAACATATTGGTAAGAAGAAATAGCTGTAATAAAGTTCAGAAAACGAATGATAAAATGTTACACAAAACGTAAAAGAAAATATACACAGGTTAGTGACGCCATACCTAATATAGTTTCCAATTCCATTATTAAGCATGTCGAAGGGCGAAAATATTATGATATGTGGTAATTTTCCTTTGTTTTTAGGAGTCATACAAACAATGAGTCACAAGTTTTAAAAATGACAACATTATCACTAACTGAAAAGATGAAATATCACATACATTTTAATATATATTTTAAGATACATAACTTCAGACAACTGTGTTATAAGAGAATTACAATTCACGTGAGACACTCATATTAAGGATTAAAGAGATCTATTCATCAATAAATAAAAAGTTGATCATATTAAAATTAGTATTCTGCTTAATAATTAAGATTTATATATGTGAAATTTTGAAATAATATCTTTCTTCTAAAATTTATTTATGCCTTATCATTTATGGATTAAATACTCTTACCTTGTGTAATCCAATCCTCAGTGAACAGGACGTAACGTTATCTTCATTAATTCCATTTATTTTCTTGATTTAAAGAACAATAAACATTAATTTCAACCTAACATGAAAAAGATCAGAACGGTTTATGGAAAGTAAACATGAAACGTAGAACCTGCATTTATTACCACAACAAAACTTAACTAGTTTACAAAACATGTCTGTGTTTGTGTGTGTTATGCTTGTCATGAATTTCAGCTATTCTCATTTCTTGAGGAAATAGTTTTCTGTGCTTACCAGGCTCCATTGTATTCATATAATTATAAATCAATCGTAATTATTAACTTTCATAAAAATATATATTCCCAGTAGCAAGGAGAGTAATAATGGTAAAACACTCAAGTATTATTAAAACAGGAAAAGGACACGTTATATAAGATAATGTTTGACAAACGCCGTTGGTATAATTAGCGCAACTCTCCAAGTCATTCACAAGCATTCTAATATAACATAAGGTGCAGTTAAAAATATATTTAAGCTGCTTTTCCTCAGCCTCCATCAAGAATAAAACATTTTTATTTTTCCGAAGCTTTTAGCCCTTTTACAGTAACTATCATTAGACTTTGAAACGAAATTATGGAGATCCATGTCTTGAAACTCTTTCTGTTGTTGGTCGAGATTTTTTAAATTATTCGGTAAAGAATCCAAAGTTCAGACCAGTTAATAAGAACGAAATTATTTTATTTATTTCACTAAAAGTTCAGTAAGAGTTACACAGTTTAAATGACTAATTATAAGCCTAATTTTACAAATAAGCCATGTGTAAACAGATATTCTACTTTCTTCTTAATTTCATACCTCTCGTACTGCTTAGGAAACACACCCACAAAATTATCTGCACTAAAATAACTGGCTGATAGCAACAAAAAA